ATCAGAACTACAATGTGCTAAAATTAAAGTTGTGTTTGAAATGGAACCAGAACCAAGCTAAGACTAAACCAGGATTGAATGGAGACTGAACCAGGTCTGACGCAGATTCATAGAAACACTTCTCTTAAAAAGGCAGTAGTTACAGGGACATAAATGAAGAGGTTCTAATATGTCATGATAGATGATAATAGAAATTACTACATCAGAAGGGCATTTGAACAGAGGAGGGAGGGATAGTGAATATATGGTTAGAAAGATGCTGAGGTTAAAACTGCCACGAACCAGGAGGCACAATTTGAATGATCTGTTCACACCGGATTGAAAACGGCATTCATACCACTTTGAAACTACTCCATTACATCTTACATAATGATAGTGTTTTGGTGTTTCCATGGTATCTGTCATTGGGCCAAACATCTAAAGCACATTACAATGTTGGATTTTGCCATTCACCTTGAAAGGAGAATAACAGGAAGTCTGAGCGACATTGATGAAGCCGTGTTATGAAGGGTACATAAAGGAGAGAGAGCAGGATATCATGGGCTATATTTGGACAAACAAGTCACAGTCTAGTCATTAAGGAACATTGATGGTTAAGTCACTGGAAAGTACTACACAGCAGTATGGTTTTGGGGATAATTTGGGTTGGGCGATGTGCCAAAAAATTTATCATATCATTAATAATTTTTTTTTTTTAACATGAACACGAATCCAGTTTTATCTGTATTTGCGTTTTCTTAGTATCTTTTATACAGTCTTGAAGAGGTAAAGCTATGTGTTGTTTCTTCACTGTGATTTGACTCAGAGCATGACCAATATGAGGAGTGGGTGGTCTTAGACCATAAAGTTGCATTAAACAAAATGTTAAATAAAATTAGCAGTTTAAGTATGCATTTGTTACTGAAACTATGGCTACACAATTTTTTTGTTCTTGCACTTGGATTTGTGATTTATGTTTCAAAAGTAAGATTTTGTATGAGTGCACACTGTAAACAGCTCCGGGAGCATTAACATTTGAGAGACGATTGAAACATGAACTGATGAACTAATACAAGAATACCATGCATTTCCCAACGTTTTTGTGGAGGCCTAGCTAAACAAAAACAAAAAGGTTTTTCTATAAAAAGACAGGATTTTTTGTTGCTTGCTGAGAATATTCTATCATCTATATAATTACAGCCTTTTCAGTTTGGTAATTGCTTACTTAAATTGTGATTTCAGTTTGATTCCAATATGTTGTGCAGCCTTATTTGCAGCTTTAATTGGAATGGCATTGCTTTTATAAGTTGACAGAAATGTTAGGACTAATACTGTGATTAAATACACTAATTTATGATGTAAATTTTTTATTTTAGGATATTCAGATTGAGGCCCTGCTGATGAGAGCTTGTGAACCAGTTATCCAAGCCCATTGTCATGTAAGTCCTTTTTTATTTTCAAAATATATCAGGGTCTTCAGAGGGTTACACAGTCAGAATATAATAGTTATTAGTTTATGTAATATTGTATCATTTTTTATATTTTATTTATTATTGAATGTGTAAATTTGCCTTAGTTTCAAAGTCAAATTACCATAAATTTTTGGCCTATATAGGACAAAAAGACAGAACTTGCATTGAGGAGGAGATATCAACATTTCTTTACCCTTTGCTTGTTCCCTTTATTGCTTTCTTCATCCTTCATCCTTTTCTCCTTGCCTCCTTGCCCTCTCGCCTCACTCCTTTCCTCCTTGCATCCTTTAGGAGGTGGCAGATAATCAGATTGACACTGGAGACCTGATGGAGTGCCTCGTCCAGAACAAACACGAGAAGGAGATGAATGAGAAGTGTCTGGTGGGAGTCACTCACTTCCAGCTGGTAAGACAATGTTACTAATGTGATATACTGGATTCATGTGATTATTGTGACAGATGGAGAACATATAACAACACTAAATACATGTACAATAAGATCCATTCTGGGGCCAGTATGGTGAATGTCAGTAGTATTTTCTGGTTAAATAAATTGTCAGTTGTCACTTGAAAATTAAATGAAGTAGATGTAGAAGGTTTATTTGTATGAATGTAAAAACTTTCAAACACTGAACAATAAAAATTAAACAAACTGTAACTATCAAATAACTAGCGTATGTATTATGAAATAGCCATAAATGATTAAAAACTAAAGTGACTTGACTTTATTATAGTATAGATAAGAGTAGTTAAAATGTGTAAAATAAAAATATACTAGTGCAAATAAAAAGTAAAGTAAAAGTATAAAGATAAAGATGCCATATGGCCACATAGCTTTGAGGTGTTCAAGTAAAAGTTACCGAAAAGTGTAATGTATAAAGTAATGTTTGTATGTCAAATAAAAAAACCCCAAATGGTGCATCTCTCTGTCATCAGCACCTGCTGCTGAGCCTTATCATTCACGCTGATCGTAATCTCTGGCTGTTTACTTTCAGGTTCAGATCAAAGATTTCAGATTTTCGTACAAGTTCAAAACGGCCTGCAAAGAAGACGTGCTCAAGCTGTGCCCTAACATCAAGAAAAAGTAAGGCCCACGTTGATACTTTAGTGCTTTTAACAAAGCCACACAACCTAACTTTAAGATTTTCTAAATATCTTACTACATTTTGAAACATAATTAGAGTTAATCATGAGTGTGCATTTCATTCGACGTTCTTGGTTAATGCTTATTTGTGCTCAGGGTGGATGTTGTGATTTGCCTCAGCACTACTGTGAGGAACGACACACTGCAGGAAGTCAAAGAGCAGCGCGTCTCCGTCAAATGTCGCAAACAGCTCCGAGTGGAGGAAGTGGAGATGGTACGATCTGCCTTCAAAACATTGAATTTACAATGACAACCTGATCTATAAATACGTAAATCTTTAGAATTATATTGTGAGGCATTTGACATCCATTACAGCTATTCAAAAGCTGCTAGCTTAAAACTTTCCTAGACTCATGCGTCGCTAAAATGAACAAACCTGATTGCATGCTTTGCAGTCCAAGACACAGCGAAGGGGTGGTGACCAGACGCAGAGATTGTCTGTATATACAGAAAATTCCTTGGTTTAGACAGGCTAGTCCTGTTTGAGAAACAGAAATAATTAAAATGTAAAATGTACTAGTTTTACTGTAGTTTTCTCTGCATCTGTATTTTAGATAAGGGGCATTCAATGCACTCTTTGTGTCCTCTGTGATATTTGTCATTCTGTTCCTGTCCAAAGTTCCTCTGTATTTGTTTGTATTTCTTTCTCTAAATCCCTTTAATCTTGTGTTTCAGTCTGAGGACATCCGTCTGGACCCAGAGTTATACGACTCCTGTCAGCCAGATATCAAGAGACTGTGTCCAAATATCAACTACGGCAACGCACAGGTCAGGAGCATCTTTAAATTTTCCTCACCATCAGCAAATATCAGACATAATGGACTATTAACCATCAACTTTTTTGAAAAGATTGTTTTTTGAGTGAATACTGGGGTAAAGTCTGTTTATTTTAGTTTAGGTCAGAGTGACATAGTATTTAAAATGTTTAATTCATTATATGTATTCTCTGAAATAACTTGTACAGTGACTTAATGTTGCATAAACATCATAATCCCAGAAGCTAACCCTCTTTCCTGTTCAGGTGATCGAGTGTCTGAAGGAGAACAAGAGGCAGCTCACTCAGAGATGTCACCAGAGGATCTTTAAACTGCAGGAGGTGGAAATGGTCGACCCAGAACTGGACTACCAACTAATGAGGGTCTGCAAGCACATGATCAGAGTACGTATCCAATCCCACTGATTCCGCTGTTCTAAGAAAGACTTTCAAAGTACTCTCCAAAATGTTAATTGTTAATTGTGACCAAAGAATAATTTAAAATGAATATAATATTGTTTGGTGTGATAGTCTATTGTAAGTATGTATCATAATTTTATACCAATCAAGTGACAGATTGTAAAGAAAAGTTGAAAATAACAGGAAGTAGCATGGCTCCCAGTCCTCAATACACAAAATTCAGGGACAATTTATATAAGAGCACACTTTTTTTTTTTGATAGTTTAAACATTAATTTACCTGAATGAAATGTGTTGTAATTTATTTGTATTTGTTAAATCATCACTATTGTGTATTTACATACCTGTACCCTTTTTTCTTGTTTACAGTATGCAGTATATGCAATAATTACAGTATTGCTAAGTTATTTAATTAACAGTTATTTAATTACCTCTATGTATGTCATATCTACTGTCTATGTCATATGAAAATGGCTGACTTAGAATTTCATGTGGATTTATTTAGTTAGTTCACATTTGCATCATGATACAAAATAAATTAACATATTTATACAAAACATTTTCATATTTTTACACATGATTGAAGTTGCTTTTTAAATAAATATTTTATATGTATCTTTTTTAGCGGTTTTGCACAGAGTCAGAGGGGAAGAACATGCTCCAGTGTCTCAAACAGAACAAGAACAGTGAGTTGATGGATCCTAAATGTAAACAGATGATCACCAAAAGGCAGATAACGCAAAACACAGGTAAGGGAGATTTCACAATTAAAACTCAAATCCACCATGTAGAATGCATTGTAGTAAAATATACAACTGAATGTCTCCTTGTATGTAGACTACAGGCTAAACCCGGTCCTGAGGAAAGCCTGTAAAGCCGACATCCCTAAATTCTGTCAGTCTATTCTGAACAAGGCCACAGCTGACACGGAGCTGGAGGGACAGGTCATCTCCTGCCTCAAACTCAAATACGCAGACCAGGTACTCAACCATTCACTTTTAGTACCATATTCATATATTGATAGTTGTATTTGTTTTCCTTTGAGCTGTGAGTGTAATATAATCAATAATATCAATAATAATCAATATTTTTGATTATTTAAAGGTGCACTATCTTTTATGGTGGATGGATGCCTATATGGATGTTATAGTATAGCTTTGCCTGAAATGTTCCACAGTACAGCAACTTCACCAGAAAAGTTTTAGTGCACAAAAATGCATTAAAATGTTAAGGGCTGCTAACATTTTAGTATTTTCAAATATTGTTTGTAGAGGGCATGTAGTCTAATGTCCAGTTGTATCTGTTATGTGACCCTGAAAAAAAAAAACAAAAAAAAACTATACATTTAAAAACCACAACGTGATTACAAACTGTCAACATCAACTATTTCACCTCTATGTACAAACTGATTGTATTCTGTTATTGCGTATGCAATGTTTTTCTTGGTGCTGTTGTATTCACATCTATGTTTGACGTGACTTGAATCTGACTGTTCTCTGATATATCCACCAAACCTAAAGATAAACACAGAAATCTCACATACTCCCTGTGTTTCTGTCTGTGCCTGGTCAGCGCTTGTCTCCAGACTGTGAGGACCAGATCAGGGTCATCCTCCAGGAGTCTGCTCTGGACTACAGACTGGACCCTCAGCTGCAAATCCACTGCACACAAGAGGTACTCCACTCTCAAACTAAACTCACACACAAATGTACTATTTAACTGCAACATATCAGAAATTGCCAGACTGCTTATTCTGTACTCAGTTTGAGGACTTCTTGTAAGGGCTGAAAAAAAAATTAAGAATGACTCAATTTCTTTCTCATAATTTTGCAGCCCTAATTTAAATATTTAAAGTGGGACTATATACTGATCCATTAGGATTGGGGATAATTAAAATGCTTGGAATGCATAAGGTTAGTGAGGAATGACTCTGGACCACTACAAACCATTTAAATTTAAGTAGTTCTGTTTTTAAATGTTTAACACAGTAAAAATCAAATACAAGGCCATATAATAGCATTGCTTTCTGTTCCTACATATTTTTTGTCAGTTTTAGTGCGAACTAGTGTACATTTTACATTTTCTGCATTCTAGTCAAAAACTGAGTGAGCTGCCTCCAGGGTTCACTGCAATTTTAGACTTGTTACTTCACACTATACTTCACACTATACCTAATTACAGCCCGGAGTTTCCCATTACAGATACCTAGCTGCAGAGGCAGAGTTTGTGGGTGTAGATACCTGTTAGACCAATCGCACAGTTCCTCATAACTCCAAACCCCACCCCTCCTCCCCCCACTCTCCCCTGTAGTCCTCCAGGCACTCCCCAGTTTAGCAGCTCTATTTGAATTTTGGTTGCAAGCAGAGTTTAGGCATTTAATCCCACTTTATTGTATATTCATCAAGTAATACATCTTCTGCACTTTGTTTTTTTAACATGCAGCTTTCATTTATGTTAAAAATAAATGTAATGCTATTTAGTACTGCTGTCACTTCCCACAAGAATCAAACTGACAAACTGGCCAAAATCAAAAGGATCCACAAACGGTGATCATTGTCACAGTGTAATATCTCAGTTTTAACTGTCAGTTCAGCTCCATCACAGACACACGAGGCCCTTACATTCTGCCCCCAGACCCTGATGCTTTGTGACAAGTGCAAATGTCGGCAGCTGATGCTACTAAAGCACCATTTATCTCAGCGCGTCATCTGGCTCTTTCAAATGGAACCACAAAATGAACTATATGTCACAGCTATATAAATACAGCCCAGACTGACAAGCTCAACACTCAGAATTCTTATTTTCAGTAATGTGGCAATCCATATTTCATTTACAACTGTACAGGCAAGTCATATTTCTTCTTCTTTTACAGTGTGTTTTATAAAAGGTTAGTTATTGATCAAATAAGCAGAGTGCAAGTGTACTGTATGTAACATGATTTTAAAATGGCCAAGATGACCATTATGTCAGTGCTGAACAATGTACATTTTTCTGAAGTACTGCGGTAGTGAATATTTGCTATTCATTATTATCACAGCAACACAAGTGTGAAATGTAAAACCTTAACTAATACAATCATCATATGTGTTTGAGAATATGCATTTGTAGTTGTAAACTGCACTGTGCTTATTGCTGTTTTAAACTGATTTTGACAGCCATTTTCTCATTATTCAAAAGCCTTTTCAATGTAAACCGCTTGTTCTTAGGTCATTAAAAATGCTTATTAAATATTCCTCTGGTGTGTGTGTTTGTGTTCAGATCTCTCGGCTGTGCCCAGAGGAGGCAGCAGCACAGGAGCAGACAGGGCAGGTAGAGGAGTGTCTCAAAGTGAATCTACTGAAGATCAAACAGGAGGGCTGTAAGAAGGTACAGCACTCTGCAGCATAACACAGAGCACACACAAACTGAGCACTGAGGCTGCTGTTAATAGTACCTACCTGCTAGCTCAGTTGCCTTTACCCGATTGCATTTAACTGAGAAAATTTTTAATTTTTATAATTACTTGGCCACAACATACTTTTAACCAAATCTTCTTGCATTTAGCTGCGCTATACATTTTTGTAATGCAGTTAATTGGCTCATCATACAAGTTTATTGAGAATTTTTTTACTTGTGCTATTGACATTTTTAAAGCATGAAAAATGTTAAATATGTTGCTGTCTTGTGTCCCCTCATCTGTAGGAGGTGCTGAACATGTTGAAAGAGAGTAAAGCAGACATCTTTGTTGACCCTGTCCTTCACACAGCCTGTGCTCTGGACATCAAACATCACTGTGCAGCCATACCGCCAGGCAGGGGGCGCCGTAAGTCATGACACTACTACCTACCACATACTGTTCAAATATACTCTTGGTATAAAAACAGCATATACATAGGCAAACTACTTCTTTTTCATGAAATAGAACAATGAATATTGTGTTGAAACTTGGATAAATAAGCTATGATGTAATGTATTAATACGCAGACATCCAACTTTTTAACGTGTACTGAATGTATACTTATATTTTATTCATACAATATGAAATGTTGTGTTTGTCAGAGATGTCATGCCTGATGGAGGCATTGCAGGATAAGCGTGTGCGACTGCAGCCAGAGTGTAAGAAGAGGCTCCAGGACCGCATCGACATGTGGAGCTACGCTGCAAAGGTATTATTACAATATAATTCATAAGTACACCCTCCACCATCTACAAAAGAGATATAAACAAATGGATTGTGGAGAGCATGCTGTTTTCAGAGAATTTAGCATTCTTTTGTTCTTCTTGGTTTGATTTTAGTTTGATACACCCAATAATGACATATTACATAATAAAAAATATTTATTATGAATATTTAAGTCTTCTCTAGATTTTATAGCTGCCTTCCATTTTCCTTTTAAAGTGGAACTAAACACTAAATCACCTTTTTATGTTTTGCCACTAAATCATGTACATGGTGTTTTCATTGTTCATTTTCATCTTTGTGGTTTAAAAGAGTGTGTGCTGCTAACTGGGTAAACTGGAACCTGTGACATCACATCACACACCTATGCCCTGATGCTGTGGGTGGAAATACATTTTTAGTCCCACTTTAATTTCTAGACTGACATCTTCTCATTTTCTCCATAATCTCAAACCCTGCCCCCCCTCTGTCCTCAGGTGGCTCCGGCCGAGGGCTTCTCAGACCTGGCCATGCAGGTGATGACATCGCCGTCTAAGAACTACATCCTAACGGTGATCGGGGCGGGCGTGGCTCTCCTCTTCCTCATGGGTCTGCTGTGCGGTCGCTTCACCAAAAGAGTCACCCAGGAACTCAAAGACAGGTAGACCCCGCCCAATTGGGCTCAGGACACGCCCACCACCGCCCAAACGCCCAAATATGGACCTCCCCCATTTTGGTTTAGCGCTCCCCTGCTGCTCCATTCAAAATACTTGTGTTTGTTCTCCTTTCGCTATGGGAGGAGCCTGCGCTGAACTACATTACCCACAATCCCCCCAAACAAGTGGATAATTAACTTGCCCCTGCTTCTTCAAGAGCATTCGGACACCCACTACCGCCCACATTTTTTTGTTTTGTTTTTTCAATTCCTTCCTACAGAGATGGCCGCCCATTAGATGCAGTATTATTTTCGTCCTCGCTCCGCTGCTTGGGGGGAGTGGCGATTGTGGGGATGATTTGGGAGGAAAATGGAGTTTTGAAGCTGTAAAAATCTAATGTTAAAGTTTAAAAATATGGAGGTAAGGAAGTTCAGGAGCCAAGTGAAATCTGTGCAGTGTAAATGTGTAGAAATGGGATGGGATGGTTAATGACTCCAGTATTTTAAAATGTGTGTGTGTGATTGCTTTGGTGAGAATGTTTGTGCGTGCGAGAAACTGTCTATTGTTTTTTTTTTTTTTTTTTTTCTGTATGTCCACGCTTCAATGATTTATTTTTTTTTTCTTTTGGCTCTGGATAGCTTCTTTAACTGAAGACGCTGATGTGTGCGCGCCTGATTTTAACGCCATGGGACTGCCAGACGGGCGGTGCCAACAAACTAGCCCTCCAAACGAGCCACAAATAAATAATAATGATAATAATAGAACAATGAAATGTGAGATTAGGAGATGTTTTAAAGTTCAAATGTGTACCATGACCACACCACCAAATCCCAGTTTCAACTTCTATGGGAACTTTTTGGCAAACTAGGAAAATTCTTCATCTAATTCTGGCTGTTTTTGTGTCTCTGGTCAGAAAATGCAATTCATAAAAAAGAAACGTGTAAAGAAATAAAACTATCGTAGATTATTATAGAGATGTGAACATTTCTGTGTAAAGATGATACTGGAATCATTGCACATTTTCTTTTTTTTATATCTATAAATATATATATATTGTTTTGTCATAGCCTTATTTATTTGTTTACTAATGATCAAAGTCATTGTTTTCTATGTTTTGAATGTTCTCTGGTTGCCTTTTGTCCTGCGAGTGGGACAGGCGGAGAGGGGGGCGAGGGCAGCAGCTTTAGACTGTAAATGTAGAGGAAGAAGTTACTGAACACTGTGGGGAAAGTGAAGGCACAAATGTACTCTCAGAGCCGCCATTTTGGTTCTTCTCCGTAGAGCCATAGAACAGAATGTGGACCAAGGGAATTACAAGGGAATACAACAGTTACCCTGGGGTAGACCGAGTGAAAAAGGCTGCCAATGCATAGGCAAGAGGAAGGCAAATGTGAAGTGTATTGCCCAAGGACACCATGACAGAATACACTTGATGGAAGCTGGGATTGAACTGGTGATCCTTGGGTTGGTGGGCGATGCTCTGACCACTCTGTCACTGTGTTTGAAAAAACAATAATTGTAATTAGCATGATGTCTGAGCCTTCAAGACCCCATGTTGCGGTTGCTGTGGTCACCCAGTGTCAGTGACATGTTGCCGCAGTGGTACTTAAGAACTGAAAGAAGGATCAAATACAAATCACCAAATTACCATTAGGAAAAGGTATACCTGACCTAATTATTCAAGGGTTCCAACTTCCTGATATATGTGACATTTTGAGAACTTTTTCCCATTCAAAAGATATTATATATTCTTATAAATAGTTAATTTTAGCTAGTTGTGTAAAAATTCTGTCATTTTCCCTTGGCCCACATTTTATCATCACATAGATTTGTCTGGTAATAGCACACTGAAGGTATAATCGACACAAGTAGAGGTGCAGCCACTAACTAGCATACTCTTGTACCTCACCGCTTTCCGTAGGTCCAACTTTTTATATAGTTAATGATTAAACAGGTGAAGGATTGCGGGTGTTGGGGAATGGTGTGGTATTTTTAATTGTATTGGTAGTTTGGGAATGACCACTGTTGCTTTAACTAGGATGCTCGTTTTCTTGGGGGCGGTACACTGAATGAGTTTTAAATAGACAGATGACATTTATACTATATGGGTGTATAAGAAGGCAAGCAAATCTGATAGGACAATAAAGTGTGAAATATCAGCCATTGAATTCTATTGTCTGTTGTCGGACTATGACTTGAATGCATTGAGTTTATTGAATACAGTACTGTGCCAGTAGTAGTCTTAATTTCTTTTACTGAATAAGAAGAGTTGAAATTGTAAAATGAGAAAAAAAAAAAAAAAAAAGCATAAACCAATCTACCAAGGCACTGTTTTTTTCTTGCACCAGATTTTAAACTGGATTTACAAAAAAGAAAAAAAAATCTTCAAGTCAAATGATCAAAATAGATTAATAAAATATTCAAAAGCATTTTTCACTAAACTATTTGCGCAGTACTTTATATCTAGACTGAATTTTAAAATTGCAATTACAAAGCTGCTTGTGCTGACCAAGCTTTACATCAAGCCTCAAGCCAAACAAGAGAACAACAGCGCCATCTTTTTTTAGTCAAGATATTGCAACTCAAACGTGTTGTCTATAGTTTGCAGTGGGAGTTTGCTTTGCTTATGGCACATGTTAACCAAATATCAGATGCACAACTTCAGTAATATTTCTGACTGTACGTTTTGCACAGAACCATTGCACACCAAATAAGTGTATGCATTTGGATAGCTCCATTTTGTTTATTTAACATTTTATTATGCAATTTAGGCAAATTTTCTCAAAACATAATAGCTAAAATGTATCTTTTTAATGTAATAGTTTTGTTTTTTCTTCTAATTAACTTGTTTTGTAATATGTCATGTCAACACTAGGCGAAACTGACTCCTACACATTCACTGAATTTATGTATATTACCAGCTGGTTAAAATGTGTTATTTAATCTGATGCACATGCTCCATATTTGACAGATTTTAAGAAAAGAAATAATGCAAGTTCCTTGGTGGTTTTCAGATTCTCAAACGTAATGATGTCCCAGATGGGGGGGCAAGAGAAAGATTTCCCTAGTGATTTACATTTTACTTTCCATGAAATTTCTAAAAGGTAAACTCACCAATGTATAACCTGGTCATTTTTATTAATGACTAGGCCACATAACTCACAATATATCACAACAAAACCCAGCATTTTATCAGTATGGATTTTAACTGCATTGGCCTGCCACGATTATTACTACTACTATCGACTTATTGTGTTCTTAGTAGTGAGAGTAGTAGTAGATCTGTAGTAGTGAGAAAACTTCTGAGTTGTAGAAGGTTGAATTATGAACTTCTATGACTTACTATAGATCTAAACAAATTACTTAAGTGTTGCATTCAGCTATTTGCAACTTGAGTTCTTTTTTTTTTTTTTTTTGTATTTAAGGGTATAATTCTGCTTTATGCTTTAGTTTCTGTATCGTTTATCATCTATATTTACTCCAGCGATATATTCTACTTCAGACTTTTTCATGACAGGCCTATAGCTGCCCCCATCTGTATTACAAATGATTGGCCCATAGAATGTTGTGATGTGATCTGAAACCCAGCAAATGTTTGGTGTTACAATTTCAAACTGTCTATGGGAGCATTTAAAATCTCAATACTTTCCTTAACATCAGTAGTAAATATTGTTGTGAAATGCATTTTATTTTAGTTGAATTACTGTGTCCAAGCCATCTTGATCATATTTGAAATTTATTGTAAAATACTGTTTTCGAATATTTTCAGCATTTATACAGATTTCCCCCCCCCCCAAATATGCTTATTTTTACAGTTATCTTACTTGTGCTTTCTTGTATGAAACAGACTGGTTATCAGGCCCCTCCCTCCTGTGGGCCCGCCCCCTGTACATGTGTACTATACTGTGCATCACTGTAACTGTTGGATCTCGTACTATTGGTTTACTCTGTCCATTGAAGCCTGGTGTGACGAGTGCTGCCCTCCTGCTTGTAAATTACTTACTCAATATGCCTTTCTGTTTTCTCAAAGCGTGCCTACTCACCGCTGGTTCCCCATGTCTATAAGAACTACAAAAGCTCCCAGAATCCTTTGCGGCGTGGAGGCAGGTGATGCTGTGGCTCTATGAATGTGTGAGTGAGTGAGTGAGATTTTCGAGTGTTTGAAATGGCCACAGTTTTGGTTTGGATTTGCCGCCAGTCCCTCGCTGTTGTCCAGAGCAAAAACGACTTTGATGATTTTAGGTTGTGATGAAACTTTTTGTAAACTGTTTTTGTGTCTCTCATGATGCTCCAGATCATTGCATTCAATTCTCTGTCCACTTTCTGTTGTGTTTTTTTGTTCTGTACAGATGAAAAATGGACAGTTTGTTAATAATAATAAAATCTGCAAGGTTTCTAAAGTTCTGGCTCCCTCTTCTTTTGCCATATTGTGATCCATGTTATATTGTTTACCCATCAAAAATGTACCTGGAGTTGTTTTGTTTCATTCACACATGTTTAACTAAAAAATCCTGCATATTTATTAGTGATTTCTTTTTTCAAACTGAAAACACTGTTCCACCTTGTGATGCCATGTGGTAATACAGGATTTTATTTTAAACTCCATATACCTTCACGAGAATCATTTGGATGATTTCAGACCTGGGATCGCCAATCTCTACTGAACAAATGGTAAAAGGAGCTGTTAACTTAAACTACCGCTTCATGAAATCACAAGAAGGAACAGAGCATTTGGAGTTTTAGGACTGCAGACGGCCTAATAATCCAGAATTAGTCAAATGTGTGTAAATGAAATAATTTCACAAGTCGATTGCATAATATCGGACCGTTAAAATGAGGGACCTGATCATGAGTGAAGAACATGTTTCAGAATGAACTATTAGCCCTGCCCTCTAAATCCCTTCTCACTCTGATGTTGAACCATGACAGAGAAACAAATGTCTGGAACAGTCACATTCTCAGATCACTATTTTCATAAACTTTTCACACATCAGTGTTATTGAGAAAGTTGAATATTCTTGGAAGATGAGGGTCCTTATTCAACAAAATATATGGTCAGTGTTTTATTTAAATTTTTCTCCACAAATGTTGTTTTTTTTTTTCAAATGTTTTAGCATGTCCCTAACCTACAAGAAAACATTGTAACTAACCTTGTATTTACTAAGCTTGTATTGACAATAATTTGAGCCAATGCCTTGGACTACACCCAGACCAGGACCATACCAAGTCTACATCAGGACTAAAATGATCCTCCTAGACGTTAAAAAGTGCATTGTGTAGTCCCTGATGGCTGACGCACATTTTAGAACCGTAGTTGCATAGATAAGATTAGATCTCTTTATGCTGTTCAGTTTATTGCTATTTACATATTTGATCAAAATTAAAAAAGGAATGCTTTCTGATACATTCAATTTGGTTAATTTTAGTGTTTCAAGCTTCAATGGCATATTTAACATACTACTGAAGCAGGCGTGATTCTGCCCTGTCTCCAAATAGGTCACCTGTCTATCATCCCTCTGTGATGTTCTCTGGATGTATGTACAGATGAGTCACACTGAATGAGTAGGCACATTATAACTCTCCATTTGGTCACTGTCAGTGGTGGATGAAGTACTCAATTGTGTTACTTAAGTAAAAGTACAGACACTGGGCCAAAAGATTACTCAAGAAAAAGTATCACATGAAAAAACTGACTTAAGTAAAATTATTAAAGTATTTGTTTAAAATGTACTTAAAGAGTAAAAAGTAGTTTGCAGAGATTTTTTAGAACAATGAAAGCATCAAATGTAGTGATTTCTTAATTTTTCTACCAGTTTTTGTGTATTTGTGTATTTGGTTTGCTTAACAAAAGGAAGTTAACTCAGCCATTTCAGCTGGTTACTGACCAAAAAGAAAAGTATTTTTAACTTTTCAATCCAGATCTAAATTTTAGTGGAGCAGAAAGTAGAGATACCTGTATGGATACATGCGCTAACTGAGAGAACATCTATTCAAGACCTTAACCTGAAATTAACTATTATTAACTGCTATTATCTATACTCTCAACATATGTGGAGAAAGGGTCCATGTAAGCAACTTAATTCAAGTTTTCCATGGTTTACCATGATAGCCTGTTGTTAATTGTCTTAATTAAGTTGCTCCTTCAGGATAATATGTCCTTCCCCCAAGATATGTTGTCCCCTCGAGATAATATAAGTGTATATATTTTTTAATTTAATAATTATTATAATATATAATTATAATAATTATTATTTTCATTTCCAGGTCTGTAATAAATTAACCATTAAGATTCATAAATGCTGAACCTGATCATTTATAGCCTACAAGTCAGTATAGTCATTATAATTAGAATATGAACTGCACATGTCCATTAAACAGCATTTGAATTTTACAGTGTAATCTGAAAACAGTAAAAAGCCAATGTGGACTTACTTTCTCTCTTCTCTCTCATCCTTTTGCTACTAGCTAAAGAATTTGCTACCATATAAAATAACCTCAGATGGCTTTACAACTTTAGTGAATTAAACTCAAACAGTCAAACCACGACAAGACATTCCCATGTTAAAAACATCAGTTACAATCAGAGCTCTATTCCATAATATGTACTCAACTGTCTTTGAAGAGTTTTTAAATGAAATTATACTTAAAGGGCCTATGTTATGCAACACTGGCTCTTATGAGCTTTTAGCCATGTTATAATGTTGTTACCTTATCAAAAACATACCTGGAGTTGTATTTTGTTTCATTCACACATTTCAGTAATCCTTTATTATTAGTCTCCAAAGCTCAAAATGCTCTGTTCCACATTGTGATGTCATGAAGTAAACAATTACTGTTTACCTTAATTTCAATAAAGACTGGCAATTCCAGGGCTGAAATTATCCAAATGATTCTAGTGAAGGTATATGAATTTAAAAACACAGTGGGGCATTGTATTACCACATGACATCACAAGGTGGAAGAGAGTGTTTTCTGTTTGAGAACTAAGCCTAAATATACAGCCTCTGTGTGTTAAACATGTGTGAATGAAACAAAACACAACTCCAGGTATGTTTGTGATGATGAAACTACATTAATAAATAAATAAAAAACACTAATATGGGCCCTTTAACAGAATTGTTTTCAGACACATACTATTCATTTACATACTTCAGTAATATACTTGACAATGTACTCTTGCCACTGTGAAAAAAGCTTTATTTTTTGGCAATACAATATGATCTGACTTAATTTTTGCTCCTTTACCCTTTTCTTCTCATAGCGCTTATAAGTCCATGTGATCCGCTGCCTGTTTAAACCTGGTGAGTTTGTGTTCTTTGGTGTGGGAACATTCTGGTCCAGATCCCCCGTCTGTCTGCGTGGTCCCTGTTTAGTCCCACTATAGAGCGGCTCACAGACCAGTGTGAGATTCTTGAGTCCAAAACAAGGCCTCCGCACTGCCCCCCTTTAAACTAGATTTACACGTGGTCAGTGGACTTTAGCAGAAAACAGAGGAGGACTGCATATAGACAGGTAGGTATGTTTATTTAAAACCAGACATGTAGCCAAAAATAAGAAATTACATCAAATATCAAAAAGTAATACAAAACTGCAAGTAAAAATACTGTAGGCCCATATGAATGCACTGGGATACAAGAACAGTAAATAGATACATGGGTAATGCAAAAGCATACAAAAGTTTCAAATTTAACTATAATAATTCAACAAAGCACACTAAATAAGGAAAAATAAATACAATTTTAAAGTTGCTCTTCGTAACTCTTTGCTTTGTCGGGAATGTTCCACAATATTGCATCTCCATGGATACAAGTAGGTGATACAATCAGGCCAACTAGTTTAGATCTAGATGGAGAGACAACTACACTCAAAGCAAAAGTGTGTGTTTATCAAGGTATTTTTGAGTAATAAAAACACCTGTAATTGAATAAATGCTAACAAGAGACGATAATGTAGGTGGCAGTCAACCACAAAAGTTACAGAGTGCACCTTTAAAAAGAACATAAACATACATATAAATACGGTAAAAAGAATCAGATTCAAATATGAAGTAAAAAAAAATTCTATTATATTCTTGGGTGTATAAAATTATATGGATACTATTAATGACCAATAACAGCACAGTGGTTAGACACACAGGTCATTATGAAACATTTTACCCCATTATGTTTTTTTTTTTTTAGTAATAAGACTGTAAAAATGTTATGTAATGCATATCTATCCATAAAACTAATACCTAAGTACTAACTCAAAATACCCTAAATAAACCAAAAAGATCCTCATCATTCCCACACTAACATTTTCTCCCACAGCCTTCTTCACCTCCTCAGAATCTGCCCCTTGACCTCAGAGGTCAGGGTCAAAGGTCAGTGGTGCTAGACAACATGACTGTTCTCCTCTTACAGACCACTGCTGTCTCTCTTTGTACCTGCATTAAACCACAAACACACACACACACACACACACACACACAATAATTCAGTCCATGTAAGGGCGCTTTCCCATTAATGTGACAATGACTCATTACTAGACTATTGATTTTTAATAGAGTTTGAGGATGGGCTGTACATGTCAAGCATAATTGCCAAATCCAAAAAGTCCACAATATTGGCTCAAACAATGGTTCCTTTTTTTCAATAAAATTCTTCTTGTATAAAAAAAATATTAAAAAGTAGACCTTGACTCAAAAAAGGTTGAAAAACACTGTTTTGAAGAGCTCACAAATACATACTAACTTGTAGTTTTTATTTAAAAAATATATATTTGAAACTAAGGGTGTCAATGTTGAACAGTATAATCATAAAAAAACAAGTTGCTTTAAATATCGAGATACATTTAGAAACAAAAGTAAGTGATTCTGACACAAAAGTAAACAATAAGTGTTGACTTTATGTCACATTAACGTGACTTTTTATTCTAAAAGTTTGATTTTCATAAAGCTGTTCACATAACTGAGCAATGCTAATCTGACAGTGAGATTGAAGGTTAATTATTTATTTTGTAATTAGATTTTTTTTTTTTTAACCTTTTTGGCCATTGTGACACTTCAAATCTATTCAAACAAATGTAACAAACAAATATATATTACACCCCTAAAATGTACTATCAGAGTGAGCCTGTAGAGTCAGTACAGCTATATGCGATCCCTGAAGAATAGTTTTGTTTTGTGATTCATGTTTAGAATCTATGCTACTCCAAGAATGGACCCTACGTGTCTTTGCTCCAGGTCTGAATAGAGTTTGAAAGGATTAGAGCAGTAATTGTAACCACCATTAAAATTCGATTCATTGCACATCCCTCTCTCACACAAAACATGCTTAAAATGCCTTCCAAACCTTAATACTCTCCTCCCTCTCACTAGAACTCATACGGCGACACAAACAGTGTGACTTTGGTGAGGTACCGTCCCAGCAGCTCGCTCCTCTCCAGCTCACTCATCTCCACCTCAGCTTCCAGAGTGGCTGGGCCTGTGATTGGCTGGACCAGGAGCAGTGTGCCCGTCTGCCTACCTGATCTCTGTACACTGAAGTGGCCCCGACCCCTGCCCCCGCCCAGCCCAAACCGCAGAGTGTCACCTAGCACCCGTGCTGCAGACACCCGGAACAGCACCCGCGGGGCCGACAGGTTGGACACCAGAGACAGGAAGTGGAAGGAGATGGAGGAGGGGGCCTGGGCGCACGCTTTGTCCCCATACATGCACGGGTTCCTTTCACAGCGCCTGACAAAATGAGAGCATGGCATTACAGTTATTAGGATTATGAACATTATTATTATCTTCACACCAAATACTTTTACTAGAATAACTTTCTCATAAATCTTCAAAAGATCATTCTTTTACTACTGCTTGCTACGACTTGATAAATAATATCAATAAATAATAATAATAATAATAATAATTTTGGTTATTTTTCCTTCCATAAAATTTAATTAATCCATGAGGGAAATTATTTGGACACAATAGCTCAGCTCACACAATACAATATAATATAATAACAAAGGGTAAAAATATAAACAGTCATAATAAATTCAAAATAAGTAGTAAAAACAGCAGTGTCAAATGCTTATACTTATACCATTTTATATGTACAAGTAAAAATATAGTAAGTACAAAATATATCTAAGATATTGATACTTTGCAGCTGACGTCAACAACATTCCCTGTGAAGCTGTAAGCACAACTCTGTTAGAAGCTCTGTTACTCTGTTCTGACTTGGTTGGAAATATAATACACAATAAAAAGTCACACATAAGGATGAGTTGTTATACAGTTGTAAATCATCATGATCCTGGCACTTACACTTAAAATGATTTTTCTTGAGTTGCAGTTTTCCCAAACACTTTTAGTTGAGTTATTTCTTGGATCACTACTTTGTGCTTTTACTTGTCTTGAATAGAAACAGTACTTGACTTGTACTTGACTTGTACTTGTACTACTTGAGTAAAATTTTTGACTCCTTTATTCACTTCTACCAAGTTCACAACAGTATTTAATGAAGTACCACCAGTGAACTTGGTCACAGCATGGGGTATGGTAAATCTATTCATAGAAATCTACTTCTGTAACCACAATCATCATTCATATGTAATGGGTTCAATGTCTTGCTCAAGAACACAACAATACAGTAGTCACAGCTAGGATAAAACCACTAAACTTTGGGCTTGTGGGTGGCTCTACCACTGAGCCACTGCCACACACAGAACAACTTTGTGAAAGATCATATTTACATTTTTGTTTTGACATCCAATTGTTTTCTAATGACATAAATAGTAATTTCATGATGTCACTGCTGGATCCCAACACCACAGTGAATAAATCAACCTGCTATTTTGGTCCCTCTTACAATTGAACTGCTCTGGGATCACATTTAGAGCCAAGTCTCATTGTCCCATACTGGCCCGGTTTGAACTTGGGAGTCCTGTAATGATGGGTGCAGAGCGCAGAGGAGGTGCATCCTATTGTTTTTGGGTGTCGTCCTCTGAGCCATGTCCTTTAGAGACAGCAGGGCATTCAGGGCTAGTCTATTGTCCTGTTTTGTAAGCACGCCTCTTTCCGCCTCATCTGCAGTTTAATTGTGCGTCTAAAATGGCAGCTCTTTGTTAATCCCAAAGCTGGATAAATGACATCCTGTTATACTGGCGGTTGGCTTGTGCAAGAAGACAAGTTTGAAATGTGGTTATTATGTTATGTTTTAACTACAGTAAAAGCACTAAGAGGCCCGGGGTGGAGGAATCAGGAGATGTGTGAGTTACTTTGAGTCACTTTGTGCGCAATTCTTCAGAAGTTTAATTAATAATTTTATATAAGTGAAAGTGAAATGAGTCAGTGCAAATCTGGAGATAAAACTGAACACATTTCTATTTACTTTCATATTCAAGAAACAATATAAAAGAACAGAAACTTTGGTATAGATGAGTACCATCAGGTTCCTGTTACAGCCCGAGGTGAGCCCTTGTAGGGTATAGCACCTGTCTGTACTTACATAGGCGAGGTCTTGATGTAGGTTGCGTTCTTCATGTTAGGACACTCCACCCTGACACACTGGAACCCTCCGTAGGTGTTCACACAGACCTGCTCCGTGGTGCAGTTGTGCATCTGGGTTTCACACTCATCGATGTCTGCACAGAGAGATAGAGAGAGAGACAGAAACAGAGATAGAGACAGAGAGACAGAGGGTCAGTTTTACAGGTGTGGAGGTCTCAAAATGCACTCATATCTCAGATAATAGGAGTATATTTTGACCTGAGCAGCTGCGGCCATCTGCAGAGAGGTCATATCCGCGGGGACAGTAGCAATGGAAGCTCCCTGGGGTGTTGACGCACTGATGGATACAGAGGCGCCCGGGCTGGCCCAGTGGGAACAACAGGCATTCGTCTATGTCTGTAGAGAAGAAAACATATGCAGACCAACTTAATCAATATAGAGGCTTGAAAAAGTAAGATAAATGTAAAATTAAGATACTGTTTAAACAACCTGGGAGGCGAAAGTGCAAGCCAGTTTTTCACACCCAGTACCATCTAAGAAAATATATACCGGTATTGCCTTCAGAGTACCACCAGATCTAAACCAGATCTAGAACAAGACTAAACTAAATCAAAACCAGGTCTAATCCAGGACTACATTACTAATTACTGACTAAAGTGAAAATTCAATGTGATCACAACAAGCTCACACACCACTGGTCTAGATTCATTGTGTTGTAGTACAAAAAAAACCCCAAGATCTACAACATCTACAAATCCAGCTGACAACACCGAGCATGTTTGTACATATTTGATAACATATTTAACATATTTAAAAGGCTGCTCCTTACCTGTACAGATATTATTGTCCCGGCCTGAAATAGTGAACCCCACATCACACGTGCACCGAGTGGAGCCCAAAAAGTGAGTGCAGTGAGATGGGCGGACAGAGGAGGGGGCTGGTGAGGTGGAGGAGGACAAGAGAGGTGAGGGAGATACCACAGATGATGAAGATGATGATGGGGAGGATTTTGAAGATGAGGAGAGAGCAGCCGACATGGGCAGAGAGGAAGCGGAGGCCCCAGACGAGAAGAACGGGAGGGAGAGAGAGCTGGAGTTAAAACCTGTGGAAATGAAAGAGAAGATTTTATTTTCTGTTGCAGTCTGTTCTGAAAATCTGTATTCAAGAAAATTACAGCTACTTCAAAATAATTATAAACCTACAAAATGTGTTACTATTATTCTACTTATGAATAATACAGTTTATTTATTTACTTCAGACAGTATATTATGAAAACAGATATTTGTGATGAAACCTAAAATGATGAGGAGCCCCTGTGGCATTGAAGGATGGGTCAAATACTGAGGACAAATTTTCCTGATGGTACAATAAAATGTTTCTTAAGCTCATCCTTAAATTAAGTCTGAGTAATATTACCTGTACATCCTGAACTGATCAGGAGAAATTGTTGGATGAAAACCATACGGAAATAGCTGCCATAACTATCAGAGCAACAGCATACATGGATCAAAGTAAAAAAAAATACAAACAAAAAACAAACAAAAAAACACTTGTGACTATCCCAGACAGTAGTTTCTCTATCATGATTCAACATCAGACTGACAGAAGGGAAAATATGGACGGGGCTAACAGTTCAATGAGAAAAATCTTCACTCATGTTTCTAAATTGGATACAAACTGACCTGGCCCGTTCTCCACTGCCTGCCCAGTACCCATGTCTGTTGTATTGTGTCTGTTTCACTAGACTCACGTTGGCACATAGGCTGCTGCCCGCTCCACTTGAGGCTCTCCTGGCAGACCCTGGTGCGGGGTCCGATCAGCTCATACCCAGGTTTACAGATGAAGTGGACCTCATGGCCCACCCCAAACACCCGGCCCAGTCTGCGCCCATGAGCGGGGGGGTCGGGCTTAGGGCACGTCCCTGCAGGACACAAGACAGAGAGGGGATCAAGGTAATACAGTGCACTGTTAATTCAAAAGAAGTCAGGATTCAGGTTTTGAAACTAATTCTGTTAGTTTAGCAACATGTGACCATGTTTGGATGTTAGATAAGACAACTGAATAAACTAACAGGATAGGACTAAACCAGGACTGGAACCAGACCAAATCAAGTCTACATCCGAATTAGGCTAAAATCAGAATCAAACTGGTACAAGTGTAAACGCCCTAAGAAGCAAGCACTGAAACCACGTTATCACTTGTCACAAGTAGCTCTCAAGCATTCTAAACACTAATTAAGTGATTAATTAATTGATTATGCTTTTGAATGTCCTTTTGAATACCTGTGCGACAGGTATTCTACACTGAACATAAAACCATTAGGGACCACAATATTTTAAAGTTGAAACAAGTCCAGCTATAATATTTCAGACAGTATTTGGCTGCTCACAGTTCTTCCCGGCTCTGAAGAAGGCCATGGTGCTGTTGTGGAGCACACTGAGCTTCTTCTTGAGGGCTCTCAAGCCCTGCTGGTACGAAGTCTCCTGCACCGCCAACATTTTTTGCACCTGACGCACAGAGTTCAGCAGGTCCTGGGTCGAAGAGCACTCCTGAGGACACAAAGACAACAAACCATGGAGTTTGATTTAGTTTATAGTGATGCAAACTAGAAATGTACAGTATCTAATTGCATTTTTATATGTATTGCAGTTACATTTGCAAATTATGTTTTACAATGAAAACCAGACTTGACATGTTTGTAGAGGTTTAAATGACAGGGTTGGCACATTGTTAAGATATTTTTTTTGCAGATGAAATTATAGTGTATTAATAACTGAAGTATTTATAGTATAATTGTGACTCTTAAAATGCCATTCTGATCCAATTGTGATAAAATTTGCAGCTCTACACTCCACATACTGTGCTGCTTTAACCCCACTGGCCTCAGATAACCTCCAGCCTCTACATGTGGCACTATACTGTATGCATGATGCCAAAACAATGTGCCCATTTTAGCTATGCTTGAGTCTGCCTGAGAAACCCACACAGACAGAGAGAGAGAGAGAGACAGAGAGACAGAGGGAGCGAGAGATGAGGGAGAAAAAGGGGAGGTGGTTGATATTGGCCGAACATTAGTGCAGGGTAAAACGAGGCAGACATGATGATGGGTTGTTCTGGTCCAGTCCATTTCAAGCTGGTAGTTTAGACTGAGTCTGAACACAATTTTAAGGGAAAGTTTCATATTTGTGGTGGCAAATTGATTCTTTTTTTGCAATTAGTAAAATAAATGTTGAGAAATAGCATTCTCAGCATCACCAGTCTAAACTGCATATCATTTAAAGGTGCATTATGTAACCTTTCTGAGTAGTTCTTGCTTTGCTTGGAATGTTCCACAGTATAGCATTAAAATCTATCTCACATTTGTTCAATTACGGGTGTTTTTATTGCTCAAATAGAATTAAAAACTTTTTTTTTATTTTTACTGTAAACAGGCTAATCCCTCCACAGATCTGACCTGTAAATTGGCTTGGTGGCCTCATCTACTCGCCTCCACAGTGATGGACCTTAAGCAGGCATAAAATTTGCAAAAGTTGTAAGACTTTAAGGGGGGTTTATCGGTGTGTCTATCCACATGAAACAAAAACTGACACAAAGTTCAACATCTTTTCTATGTGATTATTTTATGTATTTTAGTAGATGATTTATTGTGGACGTCCTACTTGAAACTTGTCATCTTTGTAATCTTAATTAAGGCCGATAAACACACTTTAGACGCTATACAGCTATACAGCTCAGGCTCAGGCTGAGCACAAACCATGCCCTCACATTACCTACAGGCTCTTCACACGTCCATAGTGTTCAGACATACAGACTCCACAGCAGCTTATTGGCACTTTTAACATTTCTTTTGACCTTTTATGCCTTACAATCTTTTTTTTTTTTTTTTTTTTTAAGGCATAAGGATGTGAATTATATAATGATAATCTCTTAAAATTATAATAATACTACATAATAACACGTAATGAAACCTATAAACCTATTTGGAAAATTGTGGGCCTTTATTAAAGGTGCTCGATGTAACATTTCAGGTGGAGGGTCTACCATATGCTTGTCTCCATAAAGATGCATATCCTGTGGCTGACATGTCCCACAATATGGCATTAATCATATCTATCTACATGGAAGCAAAAAATTGCACCACATTTGGGCAGGTTACTTCAGATCTGCGGAGGCGATTCCGCTCAATTGTAATTCAAAATAAATAAATAAATAAATTAATTAATTAATTAATTAAAAAACTTAAAAATTAGGCCTACACAGTGCGCATTTAAAATGATAGATCTATCTCTATAGACCTACGTTGTTTCCATTTATTTATTTATTTTTTAAATTTTTTTTTTATTTTTGAAAATTTACATTTTTAAATTAATCATTTATTGATAGGTGGCTGATTAATATTCTTACCTGAGCCGAAATCGATGACATATGATGAAGACACAGGACCAGAAAAAACGCGCAAACAGTCTTCATTTTGCGCAAGGCTCTCTGTCCAGTGAACCAACCTGTCAGCTCCTCTCCCCTGCCCAGACTGAGCCATCTCCTGTCCGCTCGTGTCTTTTCGAGCGCACTTGCCAAATTTCTCCCTCCTCCTCTCTTCCTCTCTCCTCCTTTCTTTTCTTGTTCTTTGTCCCGCATCTCGAAATAAACTTTTACTTTTTTGAGCCGTCAGCATTGCCACAAATAACTACAGCAAATTAAAAGTCAGCTGCCAAAGAACCGTGCGTCTTCTAATCAGGGCGAACAAAGCCGACGACATTTTGAAATTCCATCGCTCCAAAAGAGTCCTGGTATGCATCTCGTGATTCAATTATAACGTGGCTGTAAACTACTAGTTTTGGAAACCAGCGCCATCATGTTGTGGTGAAAAGTCGTGTGGCCCCTAAAATGACAGGGCAGCCGACATTTTCCCCGCGCTCTCCCCGGATCACCCCCCAATCCGCCTGCAGGACTGTGTCAAGTAAGTTGGCAAAGTTATTTGAGTGCATATGGTTTTGTTTTGTTTTGTTTTGTTTAAATTATTATTATTACGTAGTTTGGTGGGATAATACTCGTGATAAATCATAATTTTACACCAGGCAAGTGGCAGTTTGGAAAAAATGGTCGAAAATTACAAGAAGTGGCGTTGAGGTTTTAAACAAATTGATGACATAGAGATAAGACATAAGTCAGATGAATTTTACTCACAAGCAGCAAATTTTTTCCTGTAGTTAAAACATGACTTTAAACGTGCACTTAGTAACTTTTCAGGTGGAGTGTTGGTCTCCATGGAGATGGTATTTCTTCACCTGGAATAAAGTATGGCATTAAATTTAAATTCCAAAGTACAGCTTTAAATTTATCTACCTTTATGAAACAAACAATAAATGCTATCAAGCCAAGTTACAGATAGTCGATAGTAAGAATGTATGTTTTGTGTAGATATTTCTGGCTGCAGTCAAACATAATTTTAATGTCTTACTGTGGAACATTCTGGTTCAAGCAATAACATCTCTATGGATGTAAGCAGAGCAGGTTGTGGACTTCCAAGCAGAAAAGTTGCATTGTGGCACTTTAACAAAATAAAGACTGTTATTTGTTAAGTTATAGCTGTGGTGAGGGGTTGAGTGACTAGTGCTTCACAGTAAAAAAGTTCTCAGTTTGATTCCTGTGTTGCCCGGGCCTTTCTGGAGTTTACATGTTTACCTCTGGGTGGGTTTCCTCCGGGGACTCCAGTTGAACCCAAATCATCGTCATAGGCATCCTCCAGCAAAGGTTGTCCTGACAAAGCCAAGCAACAAGATGGGTTGTCTTGAGGAAGTGGCCCAGCAGTATTGAAGGATGGGTCAAAGGCAGAGGTCAAATTTTCCTTAGGGGACAATGAAGCGTACCTGAACTATTGTACAGCACTTTTATTGCTATAGGTAACAGGTATGGAATTACCTCTACTTTTATCTTACATCTGCCTATGCCCAACCAGCAAATTTTAAACTTAACTAGAGAAAAGTCTAATTGTCATATGCACCTTAGTAATTACACCAAAATGTCATAGGCCTATAGGATTATATAAGGCATGCTAATGGTAGACTGTAAACTCTATAGGAATGTTACAGCTGTGTTTGGTTTCTAAAGAGTGGATTACAGAGATGTTTTATTTTGGAAAGACCTGAGTCAAGAGTTTCCTCAGATTTGAAATGGGGTAATATGTACGTATGTAAGCCGTAAAACACACTCACCCAGCGACATATTCCCAAACTATTCATTTCAGATGCATAAAACATGAAAACCACTCTCTCAGGAGCATGGGAATTTCTCATAAAACGTGAAACAAATTGTCACTTTTGGCATTAAAGGGAAGGAATTATCCAAGTGGTAATCAGGCCTAATTTTTGTGGTACTGTAGATCTTATTGTCACCTTTTAGGCTATACAATTTTATATCACCTTACTGTATGGGGCAGGCTACCGACAGAATTTGTCAAACATCCTCAACATTTAAACAGTTAAAACACACACGGATACCGGCACCATTTTAGTTAAAAGAGCAGCACCCTATACATTTTTTGGCAAGGGGTCTGCCACCTGCTTGTCTCCATGGAGCTGTTATTGTGTTGCATGAACTTTCCCCACAATGTGAATCTTAATATATCTTTTTCTTGCATTTATTTTCAATTACAGTTTTTTTTTACATCATAAAATACAGTGAAAAACATTCATATTGTGATAATTCTCACCTCTCCACAGATTTCACCTGTAATTTAGCCTGGCTACATCACTAGCTTAATGCCACTGTGTAGAAACTATAGGCAAAAAAAAAAAAAAAAAAGAAATACATAGTGCACTTTAAGATTTAACAAAAACAAACAAAGAAAACAGCATGGCACGGTGGCTGAGTGGCTAGTGGCCAATCCACAGGTTGCCCAGGCCTTTCTGTGTGGAGTTTGCATGTTTCTCCCTGTGTCTGGATGGGTTTTCTCTGGGTGCTCTGGTTTCCTCCCATCAACCCCAAACATGCTACAGTTCTCCAAGAACAGTTGATAGTCAAGGTCAGTCAAATACAACCAATGAACCTCCCCAGGGACTACAGGTGGAAATAAGCATTGATGTACAGTGCATCTCTCCTGTTAAGGTTAATGCAAAAATTGTGCCCTGTCTCAAAAAAAATAATAAAATTTTTCACAATACAACAATTATAGCCAAATAGCGTGCTGAGAACTAAAAACATTACTTCCTCTGAATCTCATCAAATAGGCTAGTTACCAAGTTTCACCACAGTACATCTCTTGTCCACTAGAGGGAGCCATTCTTTTGTAAATGTTTACACACATCTTTTCCAAACAGACTTCTCCAGTTCAAAGCAGGAGCTACATTCCTCTAATCTGCACAAAAGATTTGTTTTAGTAGTGATCAATAACCTTATAATTTCAGAACTATTTTTACAATGCCACCACAAACTCCCAGATGTTTCTTTTTGCTAAAACAAAATCACTTGGCTCTCATTTATGTCCATATAATTATCCCTGCACTGCTTATGTTTTGAATCCCCCAAGGCAGAAATGGATAACGCATGTATTTACTTGCCAAAATCATAATGAATAATGTCTAAATTACAATGTATGGTTGTGACAGGTTGTTTGACTGACCCTGCTCCCCAGACTGCAAAGCATTATGGGAGTAGTAGTCCATTTACACACCAGAAGTCACTCACTTGAAAAAAAAAAGTCTAAACAGGGACTAAACCAGATCTAGACATGAACTAAACCGGGTCTAAACCATATCTAAACCAGAACTAAACAGGAAAAAGCAAGTTTTTTACCAAGTCTAATCCAAAACTAAACCAGGAATAAACCCAGTCTAAACCAGGCCCAACACCAGGACTAAACCAGGACTAAACCAGTTCTGTGGTTGCCATAGTTGTGGTTGGTTGCACTTGCAGCCAACTGAGCATTTTTTATTTTAAATTTTTTTAAAACATTTTTTATTTTTTATAATTTTTGTCTTAATTTTCTTTTTTTAAACTTTGTTTACTGAACATTTTAACATTACCAGCCAAACAGAGTTCATTATATTGGATAATATTATTACAAGTATTACAGTATTACAAAAGACAGAAAGGGTCAACAGAAAGGAGAGAGTCTAATAAGGTTTCTGGAGGGCAATTTGGAAAATGAGGGAATAATTTTTTTACATAATCCCGGACTTGAAAAAAATTAAAAAGATGATGCTTTGGTAGGTGATATTTGACAAACAGTTGTTCAGTTTTTGTCTTCAATTTTTATCTTAATATTTTGAAACTTTGACCACCTAAAAAGTGCAGCATGCAAGGTTCAAAGGATGGAAGTTAAGGAATATTGGATTTGAGTAGTATCTATGGTGAGCCTGCATGAAGCAAGGTATGAGAACCATCTTGTTCTGAAATGCAACAGACTTTCCACACCAAATATGGCAGAAGACATTCCAGAGGAAACTCCTTGAGGGAATGGACCATCCCATCACCAACCAAAAGAACAGAGAGAGAGACAGAGAGCGAGAGAGGGAGAGAGAGAGAGAGAGAGAGAGAGAGAGAGAGAGAGAGAGAGAGAGAGAGAGAGACTTTCCTGTTGTGTATCTCTGGAGGCGGCTGTGATGCTACAGGATACACAGGGGGATACTTTTGTCCTGAATGTTGTTACTCACCTTGAACTGCCCTGACAGAATCTGATTATCCTACCTGTTGAGCTGTATTGAGATTTTTCTATTATTATTGTATTTTACTGTTCAGTATCCTTAAAATGTTCCACAGGAGCAAATAAAGTTAGTCTAATTCATCAGCCGGTTTCACTTTGTAGAAACTGTCTGATCTTTCAGCGTTAGAATTCGTTTGCTCGACGGTAGGCGGATACTTTTTTCATTTAACCAATTGCTGCTATTTGGTCGTGATGTATGTAATGTGAGGCTAACGGGGCTATCTGGTATATTAAGCTTTTACCTAATCCCGCAGGAAGAAGGACAATAACGTCTTTTCCCTTGATAAAATTAACCAAACATTCTCTTTGTTCCGGCTTAAAATCCTCGATCTCAGGAATTGTTGCCAACACAGAATGTATGGCTCTTCACTGATTGGTTGGTGCCTGAACTCTCACTTCCGGGGTTTTTGCAAACCATCTAGAGTATTCTGATTCCTGACCTAATCGCAGGAAAGAAGTTAAATTGAGTGGAGGCACTAGGTGGTGCCAGCCTGGCTAAAATAAAGTTATACTGATTAATAAACTAGGACTAAATCAGGACTAAACCAGGACAGATGCAGGTCCAAACCAGGGCTTAACCAAATCTAAAGAACGACTAAATTTGGTCTAAAACCACAAATAAACCACATCTAAACCATAGTCCAATCAAGAAATACAGGTCCAGAGGATGGCAAAACCAGGACTGGAAAAAACCTATAACTAGGACCACCAGGTCTAAAAAGGATTGCACAAGGTCCGATTACTTGGACTAAACCAGGTCTAAACCAAATCTAAACCAGATCTAAACCAGGACTTTAGGATTATTACAGGTCTATACTTAGTCTCCATTCTGTCTGTCCATGAGTCTTTAAACAGAGGTTAAATCGAAGATAACCAGGAGCTGCCCCCGAGGCTCCGCCCCTCCCTCCTCTCTCTTTCTTAATGAGAGGCGACAGCTTAAATGTAAATGAAAAGTGCTAATGAGTTTTGTAATTAGCACAGAGGTGTCCTCGCTCTCCCCCCTCCTCCCTCCTCCTCACATTGAGTGGACTGGTCCAAAATGATTAGACCTGGTTTAATCGCAGCATCTAAACCAAGCTCTGAGAGACGGCAGTCCCAGTCCACACAGGGAGTTGCCTATAGCAGTAAAAGGGGTTGAGAGATATAAAAAAGCGGTGTAAATATGAGGAAATTATGTAAATTCAAATTCAAGAAAATAAATTGTTCATCATGACTCTTTCTAAGAAAGTCAGTGAAGTTTCCAACTAAAGAATGAAGACATATTCTCTGTGAAATAGGTTTGCTGCGCTATAATGTAGACAAAGGTGAAAAGAGTTGCCAAAAATTTTACTCAAGTAAGAGTAACATTTCTTTAAAATTATATCACTTAAGAAGTACAAAGTAGAGGTCCAAGAAAATTATAATAGTAAAAGTGTTTTGGGAAACTACTCCTCAAGTCAGAGTAATTGTCAGGATATAACATTTGATTTATAATTAATAATTTAATGTAATTTTAAGAACAAAACATTAAATAATGCACAGAATCTGGTATTTTCAAAGGATAGAGCAAAAAGAAAATAAAAAAAACCAAACAAACAAAAAAAAAACAACAACAACTAAATAATATCTGAAGGAGCAGTGCAAGAAACACATGTTTAAAACATTTAGTAATGTCTTCTATCTGTCATGACCACATACTACAGAGGAACCATTGAGAACATCCTTTCCAGCTGCATCACTGTGTGGAGTGGAAGCTACACTGACCACGACAGGGGAACGCTGCACCACATAGTGAACACAGCCAGGAAGATCACTGGCACACCACTCTTCTCCCTGCAAGATATCTACACCACCCGCCTCACCCACAAAACCATCACAAAACTGAGTGATGCAAGCCACCCTGCACACAGTCTGTTCAGCTTGCCCTCCTGGTGAAGGTACAGAAGCCTCGATTCCTGCACCACCAGACTCACTGACAGCTTCATCCGCCAGGCTGTTAGGATGCTGAACTCTCCCTTCTCTAGCCACCAGGCTGCCAGGAAGCTAGGAATCTGCATCCCCCTAAAGAACAACTTTGGACTTTTCCTTTTATTTTATTATTATTTAATTTAGAAAACTGAGAGTGAGAACATAATTTCACATTTTCATATGTTCATATGGAAATTTGACAATAAACTTTTTGAATTGAATTGAACTGAATTGTCAAGGAGTACTATGGCATGCAGTCTGAAAAGTACTCTAAAAAGAGCAATTTATTAGAAAAAAAAAATCCTCATAGTGGTAACTAAGGACTACCCTTCTCTGTAAATATGTTTTGTTTGTTTTTTTGACTCTGGGAGTTGGGACTGCTACCATGCTACCATTTTTTGTGTTGTTGTTTGCACAATCACAATCACAGTGTAATGTAAGAACAAATTCTATAGAAAAATCATAATCAAAATTATTATTTATATACCAGTTGAAGTGACAGCAGGTTTTCATGTTAGAATGATGACTTAGTTGGTTAGGAGTTAGGAGTTTTAAAGTATAGTAGTTTTAAAGTAAGTGTAGTATTAGGACTTTTAAACTCGTAATATATATGCAATATTAATATGTGTGTGTGTATGTCTCTCTCTCTCTCTCTCTCTCTCTCTCTCTCTCTCTATATATATATATATATATATATATATATATATATATATATATATATATATATATATATATATATATATATATATATATATATATATATATATATATATATATTTTATTTTTTTTTACACAGAATGAAGTGTCTAATACCATTTTACCCACCCCCCTGTGTCTGTTACAACAATGGTACGACCCACAGTTTTCATTCCTCTTCTGTATCTCTCTCTCTCTCTCTCTCTCACTCTGCCTCCTCCTCTCCAGCCTTCACTCCTCTCTCTCTCCTCTCCTTCTCTCTCCTTCTCTCTTTTCTTTTCTTCTCTTCGGTTCAAACAATGACCCATTTTCGGAGCGACCTCCATCAGGACCGACGTGAGTACCATTTTAGGATTTTAGGCACAATTTTGCAATGAAGCAAACTAGATGGTACAAATATGCGGAAGCTATTGGGTATCTCTGAGTTTGATATATAGTTGATATGTCAATATATGAAGCTACTTAAAAAATATTAGAAAAAATAAAACTAGTGTGCCTTTATTGATTGTGTTGTCATGATATTTTTTGGCTAATTTCAGGAATAATTAACAGTTTAAGTCGGATAAAAATCTGGTAGACTGATGCTGCATTTTTGCTCATATACTTTAGAATTAAGTGGACTGAATTACTCTATTTCAAGTTAGATTCATTAATTTTTCAGGCAAAATACAGTGAAAATAATATAATTTTCTGACAAAATTCACAAATATGTAAAAAAATGCACAAGTTTGATTTCCCTTCATTGAGCAGATGTTTGAATGAATGATCAGTATGGTTATCAGGAAGCATGTTTTATACCATATACATATAATAATGTTCCCAAACTGATCCACAAATTACCTGGACTCATATAACATATTAATACTATTACAGACATCAATCCCAGTAACAAAGAGCAAATGAAAAAGTTTTTAAATAATATAGAAGTAATAAATATGGAAATAGGTTTAATACAAGTAAAATATGTGTATTTAAAATTAAATATATAACTCACAGCAGCAATATGGCTGAAAATGGTGAATTGTCACATTATATGGCACTACTATATACCACCACTTCAGTCTCCAGTGGGCACTTCAGGAACCACTCACCCTAACCAGACACTCGAGGTGAGATAGGTTCAGTGTCTTGACCAAAGACACAACAATGGCAGTATACATTGGGATCGAACCAGCAACCTATGGGTCAATGGATCTGGCTGCTGTACCAAATGATGTAATCCCAGGAGTGGGATTCAAGCGAGAAGGTTTTGGGCTTGATCCCGGGGTTTTCTGTGCCGAGTTTGCATGTTCTCCCTGTGTCTGAGTGAGTTTCCTTGGGGCACTCCCCCAGTCAAGCCAAAACATCCACAATGGGTCACATCCAGCTAAGATAGCCCTGACCAAGCCAAGCTCAAGATGGGTGCAACACCGCGGCGCTCCCTACTCTTGTTGTCCTAGCAGCATTGAAGGACGTGTCAAATACCGAGGACATAAAGTACACCTTGCCTTACGTAGAATAGGTGTGGAAATGGAAAAATAAATGCAAGAGAGTGCAATGTAGTCATAATTTATAAATGTTAAAATAGAGCTATTTTAATCATTATAAACAGCACTGAACATAACAGTAATTATCTTTGGTCAAATTCAGTGTTTTGTTCCCTGATCCGTAAAACCTGCTAAATGTCACATCCTTCATGTAAAATCAGAGCAGAGAGCGTGGAGCCACTTGAGCATGTGCTTCTATTGGGCTTTGTAGAGTTTCAGTGCACGAGTTTAGATAGAAGATAGTGTACTATTCGGTGGACTAATATCTGTGTGGTAAATTTGAATTAGGCCTATAGTTTTCCAGTGACAGGTAGTGAGGAAAAAAAGAAAAAAAGGGAAGTTGAAATTAATTACTGAAAGTAACACTGAGTTCTAAACACGTTGGTCACATCATATAGGGAGACTCTGAATTAAATCCAGCAAGGAGCATACTTTCTGACAGTTTAAATATCCATTAAGTACAGTTATATGTTTAGTTTTATTGACTCTCCATAGCCCAACGTAGCTGGAATATACTTGTGACATTTGAAAATCTTTCGTACTTAAAATGGTTTGTTGACATTTATTTATGAGTAATCACATTTTAATTTTATGTGTGACTTTCTGAATATTTTTTGCTTTATTTAGTTAGGAGTAACAAAACTGCATAAAAAACACATTTCTTTTTTTGAATGTTTATTTTTTGTATTTCTTATTTTTTTTGTTTTGACTAGAATTGAGTTGAGTCAGTGGATATTGAGAGATTATTTGTCATCATATTAATTTGTTATCTCTACTCATTTTAGTTTTTATAGCAACTCGTATTTAATGTTTTAAAGGTGCACTATGTAACTTTTCCGGTAAGAGCCTGGCACCTGATTGTGTCCATAGAGATATGCTAGGTAGATTGTTTTTGCTGGAATGTACCACAGTATGGCATTAAAATAGCTCATTATTTAATTATAAGTGTTTGTTCTTTTTTTCAATAAACAAAACCTTGTACCACTGTAAGCAGACCCACCTCTCCACGGGACCTCTAAATTGGCATGGTGCTTGTCTCCATGGAAATACAAAAGCAACATTTCCAACGTGATGTCCCCTCCACCCAGAAAGTTACACCGTGCACCTTTAAAATTAGGGCTTATTTTGATAGACACCATACATCTGTATTACTTTACCACCTCCTTCTCTGCCCCTCTCCTTTCTTTACCAGCTCTTTTCCTTGCAAACGTTTGAAAACCGCTCCTCCATATCAGATAAAGAGTGTGGCTGTGAAATAGTTCTGTCATGGCGTCTCTGATTTGCTTCTCCGTTTGTTTTCTAACCTGATCTGTCATCCAAACAACACCAGGCAAAGTGTTGTAATCACCAGATCAATAGTACACAATCACAGCTTGGTCACGCGGCGACCTGCACCTTTACACCATTTAGACCAACACCAAGGGTTGGCTATGTGATATGGAGACAGACAACCTTTTTGTGTCTAATGAAATGGTACTTTATTCTTAAATAACTATTATTCTTTTGCCTTTTGATTGCTTATTTTTATTCCTCTGCTGTTTTTGATTCTATTATACAACACTGGGATTTCAGCACTGTGGGAAAAAGGGTCTTTTATTTTATATGATACTACAGTTTAATATTCTGAGCTTTGGTTCATATCCGGTTTATTTGTGGTTTATTTCTAGTTTCTAGCCTAGATTTGGTAAAAGGTCTACCGCCTGCCTGTCTCCATGGAAATATCATGTTTTGCTTCAGTTGCCCCATTTACATGAGAGCTTTAATTCCAATTAAAAATAATTTAATTCGGAATAAAAATTCATTCCACTTTAAAAAGACCATGAACACACTTAATTCCTAATAGTTATTCAGAATTAAACTTATTCAGAATTAAACTTAAATCTGAATAAAGTGGGTGGTTTATTCAGATTTTAAAGTGGAATTAATTTATTCCACGATCACGTAAACGTTTATTCTGCTTAAAAAAAGAATTCTGGTCATTCAACACATGCCCGTTGGATCACCCTTGTGATGCGATGACGCACTGCAATATGGTGAAAAAATTTGTATCATGTTTGTGTCTCTGAACTTCTGTTTCCCAGCGCCTATGTCATAGCGAAATAGGTTCCCCGTTAACACCGTGAACTGTCCTCATCCCAAGTTATCATCATGAACTCATAAAACAGCAGCATGTAGCCTAGAACTTTATACACAACTCACTGCACATCAGCCCGGAGTAGAAGCTCCGAGATCGGGTAACAGAGGTAAAGACAAAGGCCATTCACCATAGCTCGCAGCCCATTCTTGGTCTAGTGCCGTCCTCCGAGCGGGTTGCTCAGATAGGTCCATAGACTCCGTCCTCCTTGTGCTGGTTCCAAACAGGGACGAGCAAGACCACGGGATCCATGCGGCGAAAGTGAGAATGCACTGTGGTTGCTCCTAACCTCCGTGCTCGAGGAGCTCGGCTGGTATCAAGGTGGTGCAAAACATCCAGACAGATGCGTGAATCTTGTTCTGAGCAGTCCGTACTCCGTGCTCTTGGTTCTTTCCCGGGAAAAAAGCTTCTCAGGCAGAGGCACCTAACACCACTCCACGCTGCAGCTCATCTGAGCCCGGCCTGAACCAGAGCTGCTCCCGCTGGTTCAGAAGTCTGGGTTCGGACCGCTGTTCTCCAGTTTGTATGGGTGGGTGAACAGCGGTACACATCCCCACGTGTAACAACAAACTGAGATGACAAAAAAACTGGTAGCAGCTGAAGTGTGTGTTTACTTCCGGTTGATATAAATACATTCATGTCCCTGTCCAGTCAAAACCCTTCCCTGCCCCCAGACGCTGGGCGGAATTACATAAAGCCGATTTAACGTGTTTTCCATGTAAACCTTAATTCA